ATCAGGTAGGTAAAATAAATATTTTTTTTTAATTTTCAAATTTGAATAACTCTGTTATTTTGGACTTATTTGAAGAACGTTAAAGAGAAAATATGTTCCTTTCATTGACTAAAGACCCGAGACCAAACTGTTACCATTCTTCCAAACAGTACCGTGGCCCGTGGCACATATTTTTCTTAACATATATAGCTGCTTGAAGCGATATTTATATTTTTGATAAATGTTTTGACTACGCCTATGGTGTATGCGGTGGTATCATACTAATTAATTACGAAAAGAACGTATTAAAATGTTAACAAAAGATACAAAACTAGTATCGACGTACATATAGGTAGTACATATATTATCAACTGCGTATAATATCAGAAAAATAATTATCGAATTCAATAAAAAAACGCTAAAAAGGCGGTGTGGACTGTTTTATTCCCTATGAAACGTAACTCCTCGCTCTTTCTTAGCATTGCGCCTTTTACATTTGAAAGCTGAACAAATTACCATTGTAATAAAGTTTATACAAAGTTCACTACACACAACAAACTATTAAAAATCGCTAAAATTGTCGCTGATGACTCATTCGTTACTTTCTTAAAAATGGCGTCTAATGTCACAAATTCTGCTGCAGCCCGTATATGGGCGTTACATGTCCTTGTATTCTTTAGTCATTTGTTCCTTTTATCGAGATCTACCAGACCTGAAAATATTTGCACTTATTTAAGACTCTGGGCACCGTTTTTTTATTATTAAAATTGGGAATAGACAACTTTATACGAAGAGTATATGTAGGCATTATTTTTGAGGATTAATAAAAAATGGAGGATTCCATTTAAAAAATAGTTTTTATAGAGTGTTCTGAGTATATTTTTATAAAAAAATACAAAGTTTAACGGACATAACTTAAGTGGCAAAGCCCTTTTATAAACATTGCTCGCTACAACAATGGAAATAAAATAATGAGGTTTAAACAAGACAAAACAAAAGGTTCAAAATTTCTCCATAACAATATAGCTACTATGATTTATTTAATATATGGGGAAACTTTACAATAAATCTCAATAACAATAGCCATCAATCTTGTTTAGTGTTTATTTTATATTCTTTTAATCACCATCCGATTTTCGACATCTGCAATGGCAGAATGGTACCTTTCGGTTGAAGGTACCGTTTGCGGCGGGTAAAATCCAACATTCTTAGCACTCTAAAGATTCAATTATGCCAGATCAAAGATTAATAATATATTTATGTTGTTTCTAAGAACGGTAAAGTTTTCTTGACCGTGTGAAATAATAGTTTTGATCAGTTTTCTGTTTTCTATGCGGAATAAATGACTCGTTTGAAAAATACCGCATATTCCTTGAAGTACCAAGCGGATTAAGATTAACGAATTACTAATATGGAATTTATATATTTGATTAGAAAGTACAAAGGCAATCAATAATCGCCAGCTTTTGGAATTCTTTTTTATATTAAATTTATGTAATTCACCTGAAGTTCACATAATATTTATAATTACACTCAGATGCCAAAAAAACAGAACGCCAAAATTTTTCGTCAATCTTAAAGTATTAAGTATATTTTTTTTTAAATTTACCCCTATTTTCATGATTTTTTTTAGCAAACTGTGTTTAAATCTATCAACTTAATTCATAAACTCACTTTTTTTTATAAACTTTAGTATTTGGCTTATTATACCGGGTGCGTCTCAAAAGTGGCTCACCCCTATAACTTTTTTATTTTTTTAGATAAAAAACGAGATTTGGTATGTTAGTATATGACATAAATTAGGATTGATTGACGTATTCAATTGTTTTCGGCCACTTCCTGTTTCACCGGAAATAACTGCAACTTTTGATTTTTAAATGGCATCATGGGTATTTTTTGTACTTTATTCGATAGAAAATGACATCCTGAATAGAATGACACATCATATGTCAAGTTTTGACATTTTCGCTTAATAAAAAATCGTATTTTAAAATTCAATCCAGAGTGCCATGGCTATGTTAAAAATACTAATTCTTAATCAAGGAGCCCTGGAAAAATAGATTTGAACGTCTAATGTTTTTAGTGTCTTGTCCTGGCCAGTTAGAAAATGCTCAAATCGTATTTTTAATCATATCTCAATTTTTTCAAATGGAACGAGGGTGGCTCATTAGCATATTTGGAAAAAGGCATATTTTTACGAATAATTTGATATCACACACTTGGTATTTCGAGTCAAATTTTCATTACAAACCGCAAGTTATAATTTAAAATAAATCATATGCGAAAATGTTAAAATGTGACATATGATATGTCATTCTATTCAGAGTGTCATTTTCTATGAAATAAAGTAAAAAAATACCGAGGGTGCCATTTAAAAATCAAAAGTTTTAGTCATTTCTGGTGAAACAGGAAATAAAAAAACTACATACCAAATCTCGTTTTTTTTAACTGAAAAAATAAAAAAGTTATAAGGATTGAGCCACTTTTGAGACGCACCCGGTATAGGGTTATTTGAAGGATTGTTTTAGATTTTTAGCTTAACTTTAAAACAATCAGAACCATATGTCTCTTGAGCATTTTGTTTTTTGGCTCATGTCAACACATGCCTTGGTTAATTTTTAAAAGCGAAATGAACTTGATATGGACTTGCCACCAAAGAAGATCAAAATCTTCAACCAATTTTTTCCAATTAACTAGT